CTGTAAAACTCTTGTTTACATTGGTTTGGAGAACCTGTTCAACTACAGCATTATATGTATACGCGGTATAGGAGTAGAAGCAACTTTTATACAACGTTTATAGATACATATTTAAAGTCAAGCTTTATTGTTTTGGTGAAACCTCTTATACAACGTTTGTAGACACCTCCTAACAGCTGCTTCGAAATTTAGTAGAGATTGAACCTGAGAGGCGTTTGTTGCACTCTTTTATGACTCCTAAATAATCACTATACAGCAAGCGGTGAAAAGCGTTTATGGCACTTTTTAATGACTCCTTAATAACCGTTGTGTAAGTACTCACAATATTCACAGATAAAAATTAGTTTAACAATTCTCGTGGTACGCCAAAATAATTGCTTGTACAGTTTTTATTAATTTAATTTATTTGTGCACATTGAAAAAATATGTAATTATGCCATAATTCACATTCTGTGATCATGGAGGAAGTAGTAACAAGCATCTGTTTAATCTTTGATTGATATTCTTTCAATTAATCTCTCTAATCATTAATTGAGAGAATTTATCTAGAAATGATTATATGATATATGTCTTAAATTAATGTTTGCATTTATTAATAAACACCTATATATATAATTTACCTCTACTCCACCGAGGGTTTCTCGAAGCAAGATTCGAACTCATGATCCCGGATTGCCAGCCGCTTCTGTTTCCATCTGCTCTATTCTTGAATACATATTTTGATCATATGAGAGAAGTATATGAAGCTCATCTTGAGTGACTTCTCTTGCAGTCGAATAATCATTGCCTTATGGTCATATAAACGTGCCTATCACTTGTGCTATTTTTAGCAACAAAATTGTGGTTGGTGGTTGGTCGAACGTAAACAATCATTTAAGAGTGCTCCAAGCAGCTTTTGAAGCTTTTAACCAAATGGCAATACAACTACATTCTTGTACAACTCTGGAAGCTATTATTCAACGTTTGATCAACTCAGGTGTTGTATAAGAGCTCCCAATGGTTTGTTTTGATGCGTTTATTCCACGTTCTATATAGCTCTTGTCGATCAGTTTAACAAAGGTGCTATAAAAGTTATCGTAGGTCGTATAAAGCATATAGTTAAACCACAGACAAACAGACGTAACTCTTTGAAAAAGTTTTTCTTGAAAACAGCATCTCAAAACATAGGACATCAGTAGCGACATCTTTCAGGCTTCTCGCGGAAAACAAGCTTGCTCGCTAACTCACAAACAATATTGCATAAAAGTTCTATAGAATGTATAGAAACGTCAAAGTGATCCGATGCCAGCGCTGCGGCGAGTAGTTCGCGGAACTGATAATATTCAAATCAACCGTTAAATGCGTGAACGAAGATACACAATGAAGAGTTACGTCTGTTTGTCTGTGGTTAAACCGAACGTAAACAATCATTTAAGAGTGCTCCGAGCAGCTTTTGAAGCTTCTAACCAAAAAAGCAATACAACTACATTCTTGTTCAACTCTGGAAGCTATTATTCAACGTTTGATCAACTCAGGTGTTGTATAAGAGCTCCCAATTGTTTGTTTTGATGCGTTTATTCCACGTTCTCTATAGCTCTTGTGAATCAGTTTAACTAAGGTGCTATAAAAGTTATCGTAGGTCTTATAAGCATATAGTTAAACCGAACGTATACAATCATTTAAGTGTGCTCCAAGCAGCTTTTGAAGCTTCTAACCAAAAAGGCAATACAACTACATTCTTGTTCAACTCTGGAAGCTACTATTCAACGTTTGATCAACTCAGGTGTTTTATAAGAGCTCTCAATTGTTTGTTGGGCGGAAGGTGTTGGATTATTTCAAACGCAATCCGAACCTTTCGATTCGTGACGCGGCTCTGAAGGCAAAGTGTTCCGCCTGGTTCGTTCAGCAAACCATGAAACGAGCTGGGCTTCGTGTATTCGAGGTCCGGAAGGCACCGAACCGGCGTGATCAACAAAACACGGCGGCCAACTCCCGCGCAAGGAAGCTGTATCGAGAGTGGTTAACGAAACCGATGTGTGTGGTTATGGATGACGAAACCTACATCAAGGCAGACGCAAAGCAGATACCGGGGCTGGAGTTCTACGTTGCCAAATCACGGTTTGATGTTCCGGAAGACATAAGGAAGAAGAAAGTGGACAAATTCGCCAAAAAATACTTGCTCTGGCAGACCATATGCCAATGCGGTAAACTGAGTAAACCGTACATCACAATGGGTACCATCTACTGCGAAATGCACCGCACCGAGTGCCTCCAGAAGCGTCTGTTGCCCTTCCTGCGGTCCCACGAAGGCGACACATTGTTTTGGCCGGACCTGGCATCATGCCATTACGCGCGATCGACGTTGGATTGGTACAGAGACAATAACATTGTTTTTGTACCAAAAACCGCCAACCCGCCAAATTCACCAGAGATTCGTCCGGTGGAAAGATTTTGGGCCATAATGAAGACCAAAGTTCGAAAATCGTCCAAGGTGGATAAGAACGAGCTGGAGTTGAAGAAAGATTGGATGAAAGTGACCAAAAAGGTCGGCTCCACCATTGCACAAAAGGTAATAAAGGGTCTTAAGGGAAAGGTGCGGGCTTTCAGCGATCTAAAGGAAATTGAATAAAGTAATTATGCCGAAACATAATCCATATGTATTAGTTCATTCCCTGACAGTTCAAGAAAATCCGACTTAAAATAAATTTTTGGCGAACACTTATTGTCTGGTGCATTTTTTTTTTCGAGTACAGGCCATGAATAAGGCCGTTTGCTTTAAATTAAATAAAAACTCAGCAAAATGCTTCAAATGATCCGAATTATGGTTAGCACCCAAATAAAAATTGAAATCACCAGTCAATATATTTAATTTACTAGAATCAAGGAATGTCTCGAGCCAGTTCTCTAAAACTTCAACAAAACGCTGGTCACTAGAACTGGGAGAATGATACAAAACACCATAATTACCCATCTTCATGCCACGTACAACTGTAATGCCCAAGAACCAGTTGCCGTCAATAACTTCGTTGATACGAAGGTTGAATTGAACTGATTCTTCGACATAAATAGCAACACCGCCAGTGTGTCTAGAATGTGATAAACAAGCAACAACAATACATCCCGGATAACTATACTGATCAAAAGCTTCAGTTTCTACAATATGAGGTTCAGATAATAAAACTAAAAGAGGACGTTTTTCCTCAACAATCTGATGTAATACTACGTAGTTTGTGGACAACCCCACAATATTCGAATGCAAAAAATCAAATTGATTTAAATCTCTGGAACCTGGCTACTATTTATTGAAACGCAAGCTTCTTTTCTTCTGATCAAAAAGTCTTTTAAAGACCAAACATTCAGAGTTAAATGCGGCATGGTTGACGACCAACTTCATTTTACATTCTTTATTAATTTACAAACAATTAATACATTTCAATACAGTTGACGTACACTCCGACGTTTTGTGATGTTGACTGCACCTAGAGCATATCTAACAATTTTTGCAATCCATACTCTTGTGACCGAATTCTCCACATTTGAAGCATCCCAACACATTAATCGCGGGAACTATCGAGCACCGATCAAACCCTACAGTTACTTTCAGGCGTGTAAAAAACTGATAAACAGAAACGAGACTTCGCGTGCGCGTTTATTTTTATGCTTTTTGGGTTAGTTAGAGAAGAAAATGACAAATGCAGCTTCCGAAAATTAAACGCGTCTACTGGCGGCCACGGCACACTTTGATTGCATTTCTGAAACACAACCTCAATGCACAAACACGACGACAACAACATTCGACAAGCACTTTTAGTCCGGGAGGCGGAACGCCAACACGCAGCAAGCAAGGGAAGAAAAAATGCACACGAGCTGAACTGCTAACGTGTTGAAAGCCAAACGCGCGTTTCTACCGGTCTTGTTGTATTCATTCTATCATTCTATTCATTTGGGTAGCGTGTAGGTTGCTCATGCTGAGTGACCTACGCTTTTATAAATGTCTCCATATTAATTAGTAAAAGTGATTCACAACTTCACTCTCTGTGTAAGATTCGTTTTCAGTGTGAGGTCCGTTCTTGAATAGAACCTCCAAAGATATAGACTCTAAAATCCTGAGGAGCTTTCAACAATGCCCGGCTCGTTTCGCCATGTGGAATATCTTTGAAAATTTCCTTCGACGCTTCTTCATCGACATGAGGACGGTTGAAGCTTTCGGGAAGAACTGCTACACAGGCATTCATCTCCGCAGAACCAAATTCTTATTTGAATTATTTCCCTTTGGGGAATGCTTAACTTCGAATCAATCACGTCCAGTTGGATTATAGCACCACGGAGTGACATTGCTAAGCATTAATAAAGGGAATTTGTATTGATTCACTCGTTATCAGTTTTAAACTGATTTGATTTGATTGGTCAGTGCTTTTCGAATAAATCATGTGCTCACGCTAAAACCTTGAATGCGTTTCGAAAGCATTGGTTTCGAAAAACTCAAACTTTTAGCTAAGATATAAACCTCTGAGCGCGCATCCTTCTAGCATTTTGCTGAACTAGTAAAACTGGTTTGTTCCAAGGCGACTACATATAGGTGTTCTAATGTGTCAAATTCATGATTCAGTCGACCGAGTTTGTTAACAATTTATTCTTATTTAACTTAAACCCCCCCCCCCCCAACCGTCCTGCTCGCCATGTAGTGACAAAACTGTATCACCATGTATAAACCCACCATGGTTTGTTCGTCTAGATAAGTAAAAGCTTCCGAAGTAAGCAGAGTATGTCGTCCATAAACTACGGAATAGTAAATTTCTCGATGCACAATGACTGTGGATTATAAAATTCTTAAATATATGCATTAATTACCAAATAAAATCAATCCATCTCAAATTTTGGAGTTACGTCACTTCAGGACGCTGTTTACCTCAGAATGAGCATACCTGACTGTTATTGTCGACCCAATTCGAATAAAGAAAGCGAAAAGTTCAAAACAATCACCACAACTGATAAAACGGCCGCAAACAACTTCTTTATGATCTTCAACGAGCATTCTTTTCCAAGAGAAAAAGATTAAATAACCCTGCCAGTTCCAACTGATAAGAGATCAGTCTCGCGCAAGGAATGCTCAAAATGGCTAGAGGTTAGTATTTCGTTTGCAACCGATCCAACTAATTGACGTAAGTTTTTACATTTTCAGCCGGTTTCCGAATCGCCCTGCTTCAGTTGAAGGTTGGCTCAAACAAGTCGGAAAACGTCGCCAATGCACTAACTCGCATCCGATCGGCGGTCAAAGACAACGGAGCGCGGGTCGTCGCCCTTCCGGAGTGCTTCAATTCCCCTTATGGAACGCAACATTTTGCCGAATATGCCGAAGAAGTTCCTAGTGGAGAAACCAGTCGCAGTCTTGCGGCCATCGCCAAAGAACTGGGAATCTACCTAATTGGAGGAACGATTCCGGAGAAGAATGTACAGGAGGATAAGATTTACAACACTTGCACAGTGTGGTCCCCGGAGGGAACACTTATGGCTACCTACCGGAAAATTCATTTATTTGACATTAACATTCCCGGAGGGATAACCTTCCGTGAGTCGGATGTCCTTACAGGGGGTAGCGATTTGGCAATTGTATCGATGGATGGGGCAAAGATAGGCATTGGAATCTGCTATGACATTCGATTCGATGAACTGGCACGGTTGTATCGCAATCAGGGTTGTGACATGCTGATCTATCCGGGTGCATTTAACATGAAGACGGGACCATTGCACTGGGAGCTGCTCGCCAGGGCTAGAGCTAATGATACCCAATCGTACATTGCTACGATTTCACCGGCGAGAGATGCCGGAGCGGGTTATGTGGCGTGGGGACACTCGATGGTGGTCGATCCATGGGCCCAGGTCGTGGCCTCGGCAAAAGAGGGTCAGGAAACGGTTGTGGCCGATGTGGAGCTCAAGAAGGTGGATGAAGTGCGGGCGCAGATTCCAATTTTCAGCCAAAGAAGGACGGACCTATACGATACCAAGCCACAGAAAAGTTGAGTATTTGGTGGATGTTAGAGATCTGATCGATACAAGGAGTTGAAAGATGGCCAACATTTACAGGTAAATGCTTTTAGAATTCACACACGAATTGTGGATGATTTCTGTTGTTTTGATTTGAAATACATTCGTTTTGCATAACAAATAGCAAGTTTCATTATTTCTGTTCCCAAGCAGCCGTCTGTGCTCCATTTGGAAAATTTTCATGATGAAATATTTTCAAATAAACCTGCTATTCTAGCAAACTTATTTCTGACCGACACTAAATCTGTTTTGACAGACACCTTCTTGAAAATTAATTTATTTTTGAAGGGTCAAATTTAAGTGAAAATTCTCTAAATGGAAGGGAAGACACAAATAATACTGCTATTCTGATACACATACACTTAGGCTGTGTTCCTTTTGGTGAATTTTTACTTAAATTTTACAATTCGAAAATAAATAATAATGTTCGAAAATCCCTCGGTTGTTCATATTCCGAATTCCTTCAGAAGCTTATCCAAGGAAATTGTCTTCCATCTGGAAAGTACATTTTCCGTTCTTAGTTCAATAGATTGAATTTTCTACTTAAGGGGAGGTTTACTTGGATTTTTTCAAAAAAATTTATTTTTTGCATAAAATTAAAGCTACAAGTGTGTAGAATATGTTTCCAAAAGGATTTTACGATCCGAAACATATTTAGCGAGTTATGGCGCTTTGAGTGAACCTTTGTCATGCGCGCTGAGGGACGCAACAAAAACTTTAAACGCGTTTTTCTCGAAACCATATTTTTATAACAACTTAGAGCATAGGGCTTGAACAAATGATCCGATTTACAATCGGAAAATTGCGCTTTGAAGGATACTATTTAGGCTTATACCTAAAATGAAAAAAAAATGTTAGTTACTATTTTTTAAGCAAGGTCAAAGTGAGAAAAAAAGGGGTAAAAAAAGCACTAAATTTTCAAATGTCCATAAATTGGTCAATTTTTGTCGGATTTTGTTCTAGTTAGGTATAAGCCATAGGGAATATTATCAACTTTAACCACAATAAAAAAAAATTTCATTTCAGTTCACCACCAGAGGGTGTGCACTCGAAGTTCTGCAGCAAAACCTGACTGACACTCCTCCACGTGAGCCGCCATTTTGTTTTTTTACCTTCAAAAAATTTCCAAGTATTCAGGAATAGTGGACAAACATAATTATCGAAACCGGAAGTTCGTATGTCTTTTCATTCTCCTGAAAAAAAAATCCAAAGTTCAACTGTTTTTCAGCCAAATCCAAGTAAACCTCCCCTTAAAAAATGGTAAACATATACAATTAAGGCCCAAGCGCAATGACAGCGGAAGCGAAACGGCAGCGGCAGCGGAAAAGCCCGATCTGAGTAAGCCTACTTGTCAGATTGAAAACAAGTTAGAATAGGTTAGAATCAAATCGACTTCGGCTAGGCATCTTGATGTCATTTGTGACAACTGTCAAACTTTCCGTTTCCGTTCCGCTTCCGCCCACATTGCATTTGGGCCTTTATTGAAATTAGGGAATACCGATAAATACTAAATCGGTTACATTTGGTTCCGATAAGCTTGAAAACAATCTGGCAACGCTGACTGCAACTGAGACTAATGCCTTGTTCAGACTGGAGAGTTATAACATGTTATAACAGTTTGTCAAATAATTGCAACACAGAAACCACCATCAAGATAGCGCTATAACATGTTATAACTCTGTAGTCTGAACGTACTATAATACCCCATTTACATTACAGCGTATATCACGTGATATACGCTATCTTGCAATGAGCACTCATACATCTAGTTTTCACTGGAAATCCTATGTTTGAGTGCTCATTGCAAGACAGCCTATATTACGTGATATAGGCTGTAATGTGAACGGGGTATAAGCCTCAGTACTCAAATTATGCCCGAATTTACATGGGTCTGGTGCAGTGGTGGCACTAGTACTGGACTTACAAAACATCCTTAACATTTCTAAACAGAGGTGGAATAAGGGCGTAACAGTTTTTGTAAACAATGACTTCTCTGGCAAATCGACATCACCATCGAGTAGAGGAAGACTTCTCCTACCCGATGGATATGTTGATTTGTGCAGGCGTGCCTTGAATTCCTAGAAATCAACGAGAGAAGTCATTGTTTACAAAGGCTGTTACGCCCTTATTCCAGCTCAATCTAGATTTGATCCTTTTCGCAATGACCATTGGCGTTGACGGCGGCTCTGTAGCTCTTTACTCCTATGATAAAATCCATAAGCAAACGTCAGACTGTGCGTGAAACATGGCGGACTTCGTACTATTCTTTCACTCCACCGAAAAATCCCGTATGAAACTGTCAATCTTTTCTAGAAGAGACGATTTTTCGACGGTGCCGTCAACGCCAATAGTGAAGACAAACAAAAACAAACTAGGAAGCGCAAAAAAATGTTGTCACATTTCTGAACTGTTTTGTGCCAGCGACCTGCACAAAGAAGCAGACAACACCAGCGGCGCTCCGACATAAATTTATGTCATGTAGAATGTTGGCTAATTACAGAAGACATATCAGAATTCTTCCTGAAGTCCCTTCCAACTTTCTTAGAAATTTTCATTTCAGCGGAAGCTTTTTCCAGTAGCACTTCTAACTTCCACGTCAGTTTCTTTTGACTTCCACTGGAAGGTCCATCCAATTTTCTTAAAATTTTCATTGGAAGTTTCTATTGAATTGTTTTAAACTACCCCAGAATTCGACATCCTGGAAGTTTCTTCTGACTCATTTGATTATTTAGTCTAATTGGCTGCGCATAGAAATGTTTTCTGATTTCCCCTGAAGTTGTTCCTGGCCTGGCCTGGCCCAGAAATTTCTTCTGGTTTCCCTAAGAGAATTAGTCTGACTTCTTTTAAAACATGCTGTCGATTTACCTTAGAAGATCTTCAGATTTCCCTGGAAGTTAATCCAAACATGCTATTTAGAAGTTTCTTTTGAAACAGATTCCCGGAAGTCGGGAAACGTGGTTTTTGGTAAATTTTCCGGGGCTTGTTTCCGGGATGTTCTGGGTAGGAAACACTGCTCCTGATAATTTTCTTAAACCATTCTCCTAATCAGGGAGTCATAATATCATATTGAATCGACTAAATCGATGCGATGACGAGACTGATAGCTTTCTTTTCCAGTTGAAGTCGATCAGCTTCGCAGCATTCTAGAACCTCAGTCGGCGTCTACAAATAAATGTTCAATGGCTGTCACTCTCCTCCTCGCTTCTTGGTCTTTGTTTCAAGATTCGGTGAAGCGGACGAGTGAAAGAGTGCTTAACTTTGATAGTTTCGTCACAGACAAACAGACGTAACACTTCATTGTGTATCTTCGTTCACGCATTTAACGGTTGATTTGAATATTATCAGTTCCGCGAACTACTCGTCGTAGCGCTGGCATCGGATCACTTTGACGCGAGGGGCACGCAATAACCTTTAACTCCTACGCAAGCCTTTTTAAGTACAATAATTACAGTTAACTACATGATTAATTACTTTAATTACGAGCGTCGGAAATTTTTTGATTTAATTACTTTTAACTACAAATTTTAGCTTTAATTACAAGTCGCATAAATTAAGTACATTAACTCCATTAATGTACAGCGAGAAATGTACTTAAATTACCCCCAGCGTACCGTTAGACCCTTTCGTTATTGGCCCGTGAAACAAAGGCCCTTTTGCTACGTTAAGGATAATGTCAGCTCTGATAGATTGTATCGCTACCGCTATTATGACTTTAGCATAGACCCTATAAACATACATCTCCCGGGACATACGAGGAAATCTACGTTGATGATTGGTGCCGATTCACAAGCAACGATCGGTTCGTGATTGGAAATGTAGTCGGATTTCAATACTGCCGAGGTGTTGGCAGGGCAAAAACCTATACCCTGGATCACGCCCCTGTAAAAGCACCGGAGAATGCGACAGTGAAAGGAATGTTTGTTTGTGCTAACTGAGAACCTAAGAAATAACGAATTTGATTTGGTGGATTTGAACGAAAACAGAATTACAATAGAAAATTTTGTTAAGCACGTTTTGCCTCTTTGTATTTAACCCCAAAATGTATAGTTAAGGGGAAGTTTACCACCCCGAAAATATAGTTTTTTCGAAACGGTTTTCGTGGGAAAAATTATCAATAATTCGATTAGTTTTTTCTTAGATTGTTAACAAAATTTACATGTAAAAATATTATTTATTTCTCCACGCATACGAATTTTGTTCATTCAAATTAAAAATAAATCTGTTTATACTCTAAACATATGAATGATTCAACGTAAATTGAAAACATGTTTATTACTAAAATATGTATTTTGAATTAAATTCAAAAGCATGTTTTTTCAGCAAAATAGAAATCAATTGTATTTGAAAGCATCAGTCACCGATGTGTCTGTATTTGACTGGCGATGATCAATTTCTGTACTTGGTACCTGATCAAGCGGGAACGGTGGCAAAGGCGCAGAAGGCGGTAGTTCTTTCGCTGGCTATTTCGCAGGATCAAAAGTTTTTTTTTGAGGCCGATAGGGGGCTGTTTATAAACTACGTAGACATTTTTTTTTATTGACCCCCCCACCCCCTGCGTAGCCAATTGTCCATACAAATTTTTTTAAATTTGTATGGGCCGTGCATAATTGTCAACCCCCCCTCCTAACATGTTTACGTAGTTTATGAACAGCCCCTAAGAGAAAGAGCTGAACGGACACTGGAGCTGGTGAATACTTTGGACATTCACACGCTGCGTTACTTCCGGGAAAAAAATCGCAGCTAGTATGCAATTGCCTTCCCAGCACTTGAGTGTGTCAAGTTGATCGGTAACGATCATTTCGTGTCCTGTGCACATGGGACTCATCGTTTCCTATCGGTTTGGAGTTCTGCCCATAGTATTGTTTAGTTGACCCATGGAAAGACGAATAATGGGGAGGCGAATTTCATAAGTGCTGCTATCGTGTCAATTCTGAATACGGATGTGATCATATGATTGCGATAATACAAATAAAAGCACACAATTGGTTTGAATCATCTTAGTGTCTGCAACCAAAACCAGATTAATTAATTTTTTTGTTAATGAACTCTGCCTTAAATCTGTTCATTATTATTAGTATAATAACATTAAGTTTGAAAGAAATATTGAAATAATCGAAAAAC